GTATATTAATCTAATATTTACTATTTTTGCAACCTATTTAGCAAGGTGCAGCCAGCGGGTAGGGCCAAAAATCATTGTGGTAGGTCAAAAATTGTTCCTGGAAGGCTATTCCCTCTTGACCTTGGCAACCCCGACAAGCCTTTGCCGTCCCGTACCCTAGACCATTCCCATTGCAAAGTTGGGCAAAGGAAGCCCAAAAGCATCTGGTCTTCAACCTCAGACAGACAGCCAGGCATTCTCTCCTTCAGATATACATTATAAAACAAATTCCATTTCTTGACTACCAGCTCCATCTTTCTTCATACAGGGAAGACAACAGCTGTTATGACAATGAACAAAAAACAAGGCTCTCTCAGAGATCACATAATTTCTGCACACAACCAGACCACCAACATATATAACTATACTCACAGCCAACATTGAATCAATAAAAAAAAAAATGCTTCAATTTTTAGACATAGCTAAAGCAACACATATTTAACACACTCATCAATATATCAACAGCCAGGTAACTCCTAGCTATATCATACAATTTACAAGACCAAGACCAAATTTATGTCTCTTGTGACATGTATTGCCAAAGACGATCAGTAATAATGTAGAACACGAGCGCCCCGGCCTTAGACTTTTTAACACTTCACCTCATCTAACATGGAATATATTGTAAAGCCTAACTTCCATTCACTTTTCCTATGCATCTCATAAATATTGATGAAAGCTTCATCGGTCCACATCTTCAAGACACACATACAAGGTCGAACTTCTTCTTCAGAGAATAATATCAATATCTATCAAAACGTACAACTGCTTTTTGAAACTCGTCCACAGACCAAGTCCATTCCACCCAGCTGTTGAACCAAAAACGCCTCCAAATATTTTAACATGCTGTTTATTGAAAATAAGAATTTTCTCAAATATAAATTAATATTATTTTATATTAGCATATTGTGCATATTTAGGCATTGTCAACGGATTTGGACACACTCCAGAAGTGGTCTGAAAAATGTCTGCTAGAGTTTAAACCAGGCAAATGCAATGTTATGAGGTTTGGAATAGGAGGGCTAAGACCGATACAGCAGTAGAGTATGAAGGGAAGACAAATTCTTCAATCAGAAAACGAGAAAGACCTGTGAGTGGATATAACCCCACATCTGATGCCAGAAGCCCACATTAGCTGAATAACAACAGCTGCATATGGCATATTTGCCAATATCTGTGTATTCTTCAGAAACTTGGACAGAAGAGCTTTCCGAGCTGATAACAGCGAAGGTAAGATCCACTCCTGAATATGTCCCCATCATAGATCTTTTACGTAATAAAGAACAATGAGAAACCAGAAAAAGTCCAAAGATATGCAACGAAACTCGTTCCGGAGCTGAAGGGAATGAGCTTTGAAGAAAGACTGAGAGAACTGGACTTTAGGAAAGAGTCATCAGGTTTCTTCAGGACATCAGGGAGTTATAGAGACATCAGGAGGAACATTTTCATTGTTAGAGCTGTCAGTAATTAGAACAGGGTAGATGCAGAAGTTCTTGAAGCTATATCTGTTCAAAATTTTAAATGTAAATATGATACAAGCATGAATAATGAGTCAGTGCATCAATCTAAGAACGGCAAGCAGGGCTAGGTGCCTAGCTTGACCCTGTAAGCAAATCTTGGTGAAAACATTTAAATCCCCCCCCCCCCTCACAAATGGCGATTTTTGGCACTGCCCGCCAGCAACACAGCAAAATATTTTAAAAACAATAAGTTTAAATATATTTTTTTCCTTGTAGTAATGTACACCAATATACACTGATCATGGAAAATGAACACAAAATTTCTGCTTTCATTCATTTGCCCATAATCGCATAGAACAGACGATCCACCCTCAGCTTCTAAGGTTTCTGAAGCCTCACTCCTGTCGCAAAGTGAATGGGGTAACTCTTTTATTTTTAAGTATTTAACACTGATGTGCTCCAATCACCGGCGAACACTGTTATGATCTCGGCCTACAGGAGAAACGAGTCTCCCTCCTTCATTATTGTGGGCCGTGGAAGCGCCGTAACCAGACGCCGTCAGAGGGAGAAGCGCCCTCGACCAGTTAATCTGTGGTAAGCATGATATACGCCAGTTCATAGTGATTGCTTGTAGTTGGTCGTGTGCCCAGCGACAGTAGCAATGTTTATTTATAAGTTAGACATGTTTTAATAAGGCAGAAAGCCTGAAATAGGAGAGTGAAGAGGGAGGAACACGGAGCGACGTCCATCCCCTCTGAGCTCTGACAGACGACTGAGGGAGCCCGGCTCCTGATGGAGGAAGACCCTCCCAGCGAGTGAGGACCGCCGCCGGGCGAGGTGGAGTATGGACCCGCCCAAAATGGGGGAGTCCACTCTCACTGTATGTACAGGACAGATAGAGGTTGGGGGGCAAACATATTGTGTGATTATTTTTGTTTATGTGTTAAAGGGGAAACATTTTATTGGAGTGTCGATGGGTTGCAGGTTTGTCTTTGGGGAAGAAGTTGCTGAGAACTTCGAAGCCAGCATAGATGAAGTAATTGATGAGACTCCAAGGTAGTGAAGCAGAGTACCTCGAGCTGTGAGAAGCAGCAGGGAAGAGGAGTGTCACGTGCTTCTGTAGAGGTGGAGAAGCACCGTAGTTGCTCAAGGAAACTTCATGATAGCAGCCTGAAGGAGCTGCAGAGGATCCTGGTAGTGAAGCCCGGAAGAACCTAAAGATATTAGGGTAGTGAACTTCCAGAGGTGGAAGGGAAGTTCTGGTGGATTACTTGTAGGGAGTTGATAGTGTTTGGTTGTCATTAGTGTGCAAGACGCAGTGAGAGGTGAGTGGTTGTTTGCATTCTTATGTCAAGGAGTGTTTTATACTGAAGTTTAGAGTTACAGTCGTAGGCTGGATTACCTACAGATGTATGCGTTCCAGGACTGACAGTGATCGATTGATCATTGTTGTGTATCAATGAACATTTATACTGATATATGTTATTGCATTCAAATGCTGATTTTCTATATATATATATATTCTCTTGCTGATGGTGCAACAGTGTATGTAGACTTGATCAACTTGAGGTGGTTGATAGTATCAGGTGGTGAACCAGGAGATAGGATACCACTTGATAAGCTGATAATAGAGTTCTGATGGTGTTGGAGTGCAACCTGATTGTAATATTATAGAGTATAGGATTCATTATTATTATATGTGTGTATGTATCGTGTATGTGCTTTGTCCAGTAAATGTATTCCAATTTGCTGGTGTTTGCTTTTGTCCTAGTGAGACTTCCAAGGAGGTAGTAAAGGAGGAGTGAGAGAAAGAACCAAGAACCACTGCTGTGGACAGGGTAGAAGGTAATACTAATAAGTCAAAGGGGGATTGAGGAGATCATATCACCTAAGGAGAGAGTGGGGAGTCACAGCGGCTCGAGTGGGTGTGTGCACGTGACAACGAGGCTAAGTGGTGGAGCCGCATCCCCTAAATGTGTGACGTTGAGCCCCTCTCCAAGGGCCAGAAGCGCCTAGTGTCACCAACACGCCCGTGGTAGACAATTTAATACTAGAGGTGTACCCGGTATTGTCCAGGTCTCTCTATCTGTCTCTCAACTCTCAATCTCTCTTTCTATCTATCTATTCATCTATTCACTCATCCATATATCTATCACTATATCCAATTATATATCTGTATATCCCTCCATCTACCTATTCATCATACTTACCACCCATATATTCATCTATTCATCCATCTATACCTCCACCTATCTGTCCATCCATCTATCTGTCAATCTACCTATCAATTTATCCACCTATTCATCAATCAAAATATCCAACTATCATATCTATCTACCTATCTTTCTTTCCATGGATATATCTATCCCTCTATTCTTCACTCCATCATCCAATTATCTATCCATCTACTCATTTCTCTATCTATCCATCCATCTATCCCTCCGTCTATTCATCCATCTACTACTGTCTGTCTCTGCCTCTGTGTCAGTCTCTCTCTCTCTCGGCCTTTGTCCTTGTTTTTGTGTCTGTTCTTCTGTCTGTGTTAGGTCGCCAGCTTAGCGGTGTGTAATACTAAAAAAAATGAGTAGCTATCCCATTTACTTTGAAATGGGTCCTTATCTTTAGAAAACTTTGAAGCTGTGGGAGGATTGTCTATTTTATGCCACTATGGTCAAATTATGAATAGCAGGATTTTTCCCCCCGAGTTCAGTGAATTATGGTGTACTTTAATATAAAAAAAATATGGTTTTGAAACGATTGTTTTCAAAATATTTAGCTGTATAGTTGGCAGGTTTCGCTGGTGGGGGTCATAATGTGGCCCCTGCACGCTATTTCCTTTTGAATTCTGGGGACCTCGACCAGCCTATGTTCATCCCGCACCCCAGACCATTCTTTCTATGAGTTGGTTGAGGCGTATGGCCTCCAACTCTGAACAGACGGACGTTCAAAAAGACCTTTCCTCTAATAGTTATTGATAAAAGAGAGACAGAGACAGAAAAAACAGATAGAAACTGCGACAGACAGTAGATTGATGGATGGATAGATGGAGAGACAGAGGTATAGCTTTATAGACAAGTAAACCGAGTAATGGACAGAAGGATGGAAATATTTATAGATATTTTGGTAGATTGAAAGATAATTGAATAGATGATTCGATAGATGAATGAATAGATGGGTAATCGGATGGAAAATAAGATACTTAACCTCATCTTATTTTCAAGAATAGGTTAAGTAACAGTCATTGTTTAACATGCATCAAGAGGGCAAAAAGCATAGTATTAGGCACAAATAAATTTACTTACTCTATTAACTATTTGTTCAATGATCAGTTTCAGAAATACACTTTTTTTTAAATACAATGTCAGTGAACTTAACTCACTAGGGAAAATTTGTAGTTGTATGTGAACTTTTACCAGAGGTGGTAAAGTTTCAAGATAACCTGTGCCTCTATGGCCTTTCAGATGGTGAAGAAGAAGGTAGAGAGATTGAGGATGACTTTACCTGTGCCTCCATGCCTCTCCAGATACCGAGAATGTCGGTCGTTGGATCGAATATAATTTTATGTGGGATCAATGTATCATCAGCCGTTCCTGCAACAGACACTTTGTTAAGTTGTAAATACAGTAACAGTTCATTGTAGGTAAGAACACAATACACCAAACCACCGCCGTTCTTCACCACTGCCCGAGCGTCAATGTGAACCCAGTTATCAGTAGTTGCCTTTATATTTGGATTTTTTTTATGTTTTATACCTCTTCAAACTCGCATTGTTTATTAATTCCTCATTACTCTCTGGATCAATATACTTCTCTTCTCTAACAATAAATTACTAAGACTCAAACAGTTCTTCATGTGAGAGATCTGTCAAGCTTCTGCCTAGTCTGTTCTCAGCTCCGTTTGTGAGTTTGGTGAAGGGGTTGGCATTTGTGAGTTTGACGAAGGTGTTGGTGTTTGTGAGTTTGTCGAAGGTGTTGGTGTTTGTGAGTTTGACGAAGGTGTTGGTGTTTGTGAGTTTGTCGAAGGTGTTGGTGTTTGTGAGTTTGACGAGAGTGTAGGCATTTGTAACTTCGATAAAGGTGTTAGTGAGTAGGGAAATTCATGGCTACAACCGTGCGCAAGCACGTGGGCAGGTGAGCGTAGGGCAATCCGGTCTTAGCTCCGGTGTGTGGTGCTCTGTGCACGCGGTCGTATTCCTAGTGAGGTTAAGAGGTGGTAGGTTAGGGTAGGGTGAGCACCTGTGGTGCACCTGTCCAGATGTGTGTGTGTGTGTGAGTATGTGTTGCTCCTGCTCGCACGGTCGTAGTCCCAGTAGTGGTAAGTTGAGTGTAGAAAGTGTAAGTTTGCAAGCATTAATTTTCAACTTGCGCATTTATGCTTAGAGTGAGTTTAAGCATATGTATAGAAGACCTAAGCTTGGCTCAGGTGTAGAGCATGTGGCGTTGCTGTGAGTGAATGGGTTGGGTGCGAGAAGGGCAACTTAGCGGGCGGTGAGGCACTCGCTGAGTGTCCTTTCTCGCTTGGAGCATGTGAGTGTGTGTGTGTGTGTGTTATGTGTGTGTGTGTGTGTGTGTGTGTGTGTGTGTGTGTGTGTGTGTGTGTGTACTTACCTAGTTATGCTTGCGAGGATTGAGCTCGGGCTCTTTGGTCCCGCCTCTCAACTGTCAATCAACTGGTGTACAGGTTTTGGAGCCCACTGCGCTCTATCATATCTACACTTGAAACTGTGAATGGAGTCTGCCTCCACCACATCACTTCCTAATGCATTCCATTTATCTACTACTCTGACACTGAAAAAAATCTTTCTAATGTCTCTGTGGCTCATTTGGGTACTAGGTTTCCACCTGTGTCCCCTTGTTTGTGTTCTGCCCGTGCTAAAGAGAATTTTGTAGGTGGTTACTATGTCTCCCTTTACTCTTCTGTTTTCGAGGGAAGTGAGGTTCAACTCCTTTAGCCTTTCCTCGTAGCTCATGCCTCTCAGTTTTTGGGCGAATCTGGTTGCATACAGCTGAATCTTCTCTAACATTGTTTTGTATTTAACTAGATAAGGACTCCAGGCTGCAGCCGCATATTCCAGGATTGGTCTGACATAATGGTATACAGGGTCCAGAACGATTCCTAATACAAGTTTCTAAAGGCAGCTCTTATGTTGGCCAACCTAGCATATGCTGCTGATGATATCCTTTTGATGTGGGCCTCTGGGGACAGGTTCGTGGGATATCAACCCCAAGATTTTTCTCTCTATGTGACGCTTGCAGGATTTCACATCTCAGATGGTACTTTGTGTTCACAATTCTGCTTCCTTTGCCTAATTTCATTACATTACACTTTCCTGAGTTAAACTTTAGGAGTCATTTTCTAGACCATTCCACCAGTTCGTCCAGGTCATCCTGTAGTCTCTGTCTATCTTCATCTGCCTTCACTCTTCTCATAACTTTTGCATCATCAGCAAACATTGAAAGGAATGTGTCTATACCCTCCGGAAGATCGTTTAAATACATTAGAAACAAGATGGGTCCAAGTACAGAGCCCTGTAGGACTCTGCTGGTGACATCTTGGCATTCTGATGTCTCTCCCCTCACAGTTACTCGCCGGTTCCTGTTGGTTAGATACTCTCTTATCGACTGGAACACTTTACCTTTTACTCCTGGCTGTTGTTCCAAATTTTGTAACAGCCTTTCATTGGGTTCTGTGTCAAAGGCTTTCTGACAGTTCAAGAAAATGCAGTCTGCCCACCCTTTTCTTTCTTGCCTAATTTTTGTTTCTTGGTCGTAGAATTTTATTAAACCTGTGAGGCACGATTTACTATTTCTGAACCCATGCTGGTGATGTGTTACAAAGCTATTTCCCTCCAGATGCTCTACGAGCCTTTTCCTCACGATCTTCTCCATCATCTTGCATGGTATGCAAGTTAGGGAAACTGGCCTGTAGTTCAGTGCCTCTTGCCTGTCACCCTTTTTATATAATGGGACTACATTAGCTGCCTTTCCAGCTTTCCTGTAGGTCTCCTGTCTCCAGTGACCTGTTATATATTCACCATAGAGAGTGGCACACTTAGTGCCTCTGCACCTTCCTTTAATATCCACGGTGAGATTCTATCAGGCCCAACAGCCTTTGTCACAATCAGCTCCAACAGATTCCTTTTGACCTCATCACTGGTGAGGTCAAATTCCTACAAGGTTGCTTGGTTTGCCTCCTTCTTATAAGTGTAGGGGCTTCTCGTTGTTCTTTTGTGAAGACCTCCAGGAATATCTTGTTATGTTCTTCACACACATCCTTGTCGTTCTGTGTATCTGTTCTTCCCTTTTCTCAGTTTCATCACTTGTTCATTCACTGCTGTTCTCCTCCTGATGTTGCTGTGGAGCAGTTTTGGTTGGATCTTAGCTTTACCCGCAATTTCATTCTGTCTCTCTCTGCTTCTCTTCTCACTCTGAGGTACTCATTTCTTGCCCTCTAGTATCTCTCTCTGCTCTCTGGTCTTCTGTTATTCCATTAGTTTCTCCATGTTATTTTACTCAATTACTTCACTACCATACATTCCAGGCTGAACCATGGATTCTTCTCTTGCTTTTCGTTTTTCTCCTTTTGATCCGGGATAAACCTATTTTCTGCTTCCTGGCACTTCTGGGTGACACAGTCCATCATATCCTGTACAGTATTTTCTCTGAGTTCTGTTTCCTATGGTGTTCTCCCTAGGATGGTTCCTCATCTCGTTATATTTTTCTCTTCGGCAATTTAGTCTTTTCCCTTCCGATCGCATCCTTAGATAGGTTATCCCTACCTCTATCAGATACTCAAATGTCAATACTCTGTGGTCAATATGGGGGCTTGAAATTTGACTTCCCTTATTTCTGACTCATTCAAGCATTCAAGTTGAATATTAGATCCAGTCTGACTGGTTCGTCATCACCCCTCATTCTTGTCGGTTTCTTGATGTGTTGGCTCAGTGAGTTCCTTGTTGCCACTTCCAAGAGTTTAGCTTTCGATGTATCTGCACCTGCATGTGGGTCCCCATTTTCCCAGTATATCTTTCCATGGTTGAAATCGCCCATGTTTAAACGTCTGGAGCCATTCCTGCAGGCAACTGAAGCTGCTCTCTCTGTTATATTAAGTGGTTCAGGGGGAGGTGGGGGTGGGGGATGCAGGGGTGAGGTCTTGCCCAGGCCTGCTTGGGGTAGGAAGAAGTCCTGGGGGTGGGGGCAGGGAGTGCTTGTGGTTGGGGGGCAGGGAGTGCTTGTGGTTGGGGGGCAGGGAGTGCTTGGGGTTGGGGGCAGGGATTGCTCAGGGTGAGGGCACAACCTCCTGTGATGTAGTTAGCAGGGGTTTAGGGAGAGGCGGGGTGGAGAATGAAGGGCTTAGGTCTTGTCTGGGCCTGCTTGGGGCAGGAATAAGACCTGGGGATGGGAAGGCAGGGGATACTAGGGGTTAGGGGATGAGGGAGGAATTGGGTGATATGGTGAGCATTCTGTATGGCCAACGAAGAATTTGTGCTGGGGATGGGGGGGACCTATAGGGTTGAAATTGGGGTGATGAAGACCCCTGTGGGTTCCTGAATAGGTGGATTGGGGGTTCCCCACTCCCCTCTGGGATTGCTGGGTTGGAGGTTGAGGTTCCCTGGATCCTTCTTCTTTCTGCATCTTTTCCTTGCATTTGCTGCCCTTATTATCTCGTCCCTAGAATATCCCTCAGAAGGAATACCTTTCTGTAATTCCATGCATTTTTCAGTTTGATCTTCTTTACTAGGATGTCCTCTTCGATGGCCTCGTTCCTGAATACTACCTTGATCAATCGCTTTTTGTCTTTGTTGTATTGGCCAATCCGAAAAAACTGTTCTATGTCTTGTACAGCTCCTTCCATTCCTATCTCCTTTAGTATCCCTGACACTGCAGCTTTGCCGTTAGTCCTCCATTCTTCCTTCACAGAATCTTCTTGTTCCCTAATACCTACCACTACTACATCTCTTTTTCTTTCCATTAGCTGGCTCATGTATCTAGTTGCCTCCTGTGAAGTTACTGCTTTTATTTCAACTTCACTTTAGACATGGCATCTGGGCTCTTCAGTATTTCAGCAAAAGTGGCACCCATTGTTGGGGTCCCTGCCATTGCTACATTCCCTGTTACCTGGGGGATTGTTGCCTGGGCCAGAATCTGAGAAGGGGCTGTTTTTAGTTTTTTTATCTCCTCATGTGCTGCACTTTGTTCCATCTGCATTTTACTTATAGGTTCTCTCATGTCCTTCAATTCCCCACTGAGTTCCCTCCATGCATGAGCAATTATCTCCATGTATGACTCGTCCTGTTCCTCTCCTGCAACTTTGTTCTGTTTTCTTACCATCCTGCTTGACCTGTGTGTGTGTGTATTCACCTAGTTATATTCATCTAGTTGTGTTTGCGGGGGTTGAGCTTTGCTCTTTTGGCCCGCCTCTCAACTGTTTACTAACTACTTTTTTTCACACCACACACTCACACACACATACACACACACACCCACCAGGAAGCAGCCAGTGAGAGCTGACTAACACCCAGATACCTATTTACTGCTAGGTAACAGGGGCATTCAGGGTGAAAGAAACTTTGCACATTTGTTTCTGCCTG